TTTATAAGGAAACAGAAACAGGACTATGGAATCTGGGTAAGAAGGCTATAGAGTGGCATGTTTTCTTCTGTTCAGAGTTCAGATGAAAATTTGAATCATGCATGTGTGTGGTACATCAGGAGGAGCATCTTGACTGTAAAAATTTGTGGTGTTTCTATAAGGAGCCTGAGGACATACCTCCACTGGAGAAACAAACACTTTCTGTGCCAGTAAACTGAGAGTCTCACATAAGAGAGGATTCTTACCCAGCAGTGGAGAGCTTGGAGGGCTGCAGGTCTGTCAGTGAAAGCTGTGTGCGAGCGAAGGCCTGAGTCTCCCTGCCTTAGACAGAGTCACCTGCAGGGAAGGGTTCCTTCCAGCTCATCCGTTATGTGCTTGATGTCTGCTCTTGTCCAGAAAGAGTTTCTTAAGCATTTCCTTCAAGTGGCTGGAGCTCTAAGTACTCAAGTGTGAGAAGACTTGGGCTGTACTTTTTTGAAGTTTCTAATTCTGATGTTCTTACCTCAAGCTATTCTTTTGCTCCTGTGTAGTGGTGTGACATAGATTCTCTATGTTCCCCTGTTCTCGTGGCTCAATGGGGCAGGGGTGAGGGGACACTGGGTCAAGTATAAAAAGGAAAAGTGTGATGTCATTGCAGTCCTAGGCACTCAATTTACCCCTTCCTAATAAACTGTGCAGAACGCTTCCTACGCACATTAGAGCATTTCCAGGGAGAGGAGAACAGGTAACATTTATTAAGCACATACTATACACCGAGAGCTTTGTAGGTGGTTTTTAATCTAATTATACTCTCATAATAACTCTGTGAGGTAGGTTCTATTTTTATCCCCATCGTACAGAAGAGGAATAGGAGATACAGAACAACTTGCCCGAGTTCACGCAGGGAATGGGTTTGAGACTCACACCCAGGCAGCCTTGTTCCATGGCCACCAGGTGGTACTGCTCCTCTGGGGATGTGTCCTATTGACCCCACTTTACAGCCCTTTATTTCATCTAGTGGGTGTGTGAGTCACCTGTGCCGTGGAGCTTGCTGTGAGGTCAGAAGTCACAGCAGCATCCATCTGCCAGCCCACTCATCCTGGTTCAGGGGGCATCAATAAAGTGGGAGGGGTAAAGTGAGAGAGGTGGGGCCAGCACAGGGCCAATAAGGAAGAATGGCTTCACTCTTCTTCCCTGAGCAACACATTGCTTCTCTGGCTCTTGGCAGCAGAGGTGGGGTCAAGGAGGGCAAGTTTGCAGGCAGCCAGGGAGGTGGCATTTCAAGGAGCCTTTTTGTGGAAATCATAAATGGGATTTCTCAGTCCTGTAGGAAACCTGAATTGCTCTCAAGCCTTCACTCCTGAGGTTGTGCTAAGAGCGACAGCCCCAGGACTGGCACTGGTAGCTTATGGTGCTTGTGCCAGGCTAATTGTCTCTGGCCCTCAGACCATGTTTTCCTGGCACATGTCCTTCCTGATAATTGGACTGCTGAGTGGCACACGCTGCTGTGCATGTTGTCTGACACCCAGCTCGCCTGAAGGAAGGGGTCCCAGCCTTAGCGGCCAATGACTGGCCGAAGCCAAAGCTCCGCCTCCGAGGCTGGTTCCAGCTGGCTTGCTGGGGTCAAGAGGCGGCTCTGTGCTAAACCTTTACCCTTTGATTCATTCTTGGAGACAGAGATACGAGCCACTTGCTGACTAAAAAGAGCCTCAGTGTATCAGCTGTTGTTGGAAATGCAGCGTGGACATTATTCAGTCATTCCCAGTTTAGCTAAGATCTTTTTAAAAAAAATTGTGATTTAATATTTTTCTTTTACTGTCTGGTTGGAGTGTGTCTTTTAGATGTATGTAGTTTAACAAGGTATGCAGGTCATTTAATTCTGATTTTGTCTCATTTATGCCCCGTGTGGTATCATTTTGGTTAATCTCTGCTCAGTCCCCTTAACTCACTGCTTCAGCATTCTCTTTTTCTTTTTCCAGAAAATTCCTATCAAAGTTTCACTCTACACTCAGGATGTGAGAACTGCTGGACATAATTATACAGTTAGTTTGTTGCTACTAAACTTTTAAAATGTTCATTCATTCACAAATAAAATCTTTATTGTGTTCTGGTCAGATGTCAGGCACTGCCAGGAGCTTTGGTATAGCATGGGATGAAGCTCAGATGTTCAAATCCCCATGAGTTTCAAGTCCATCTAAGTGGTAGCCCACTTGTTACCCTGAGGACATGTTCCTAGGGAAAGCCCACTCCTATTTTCCACACTAGCCCACCCAGACCTACCTAATGTTTCTCCAGCCTCTTACCTGATGCTCAGCCTGTTCTGGTGAGTAGAGATTAGCAGCGTTATTAGCAGGGAAGATGCTTTTGTTAGACAGGTGTCAAACCAGGGTAGTCGCTCCTATTTGAAGCAAGATCCTCATTGGTGGTCTGGCATTTGGGAAGGATGCAGGGACCGGGAAAGGAAGTTCACATGCATTAGCAAGCGACCAGGGCTCCAGTTCTAGCCTGTAGTTGAAATGCAGAGCAGGAATCAGGCAGGAGGATGGGAAGGGAGAATGTGAAGACTCTCGCTATTCCAGCATGAGGGAGCATGTGGGATCAAGCCAGGGCACTGCAAGCAACATGTGGGTGGCTAGACTAATTTTAGCCCACCTCCTGGTGGGATGAGCTGCTAATGTATTTGTCAAGCTGGGTAAATTTGGTTAGAAACCAGGAGGAATTGGACTGCCGGGTTGAGAGATTTAGTAACTAGATATGTGGGCTGGGCAAGGAAGAGACCGATACATCCCAAAGCTTTTGGGCTGATGAGATCCCACCATGACCTATTTTGTTCCATGACCCATATAACTGCTGTAAGCATATGTCTATACAATAATTAAAGCTAATTAAATTTTATTTTGGTGGGTGAGTGTTTGAGGAGTTTCATAACAACACCTGAGATAACTAGAGATGCTTTGGGATGCCACAAAAAGAGCATTTGGAATAATTGAGCTAGATGTTTAAAGCAGAGATGTACAACGAAGGCTGGCAGCAGAATGGCAATTTGCAAGTTTTAGTTTGAAAGAATGCTGAGTCAGGAGCTAGGAGTTTGGGGTTGTAATCTGTATGCTGGTAAACTGGCTCTCTGGACACCTTGCTTTTACGTTTGACAGTTGCTATGTAAATACTCCCACCATGGTGGATGTCCAGTTACCACTGGCTTCGTTACTGGCTCGCATGACTCCTGCATAAGTCATAATCAGCCCTTATAAGGCCAGTGTAAGGTGACTTCCTCACACCAGTGTAACCCTGACTGAGCTTCTGGTCAGCGTGGTGGTGGTTTTGGGTAAATCAGTTCACTTCTCTGGATCTTAGTTTTATCATCAATAAAGTGAAGTTCCAGAGTTAGCCTCCTGGTAAGTAGTCTGTGTTTTGGGGCAGTACTAACATCCTGTTATAAGCCAAAAGTGTCACAGCAGGTTTTCGGAGCCTTATTGTGATACTAGAGCCCGGGTGCACAAAAATCATGCATGGGTCGGGTCCCTAGGCCTGGCCAGCAATCAGGGCCAATTGGGGCCTTCCTTCCTCTAGCTGCTGGCTGCCAGCTGCCAGCTGAGGCTTTCCTTTGTTCCATGCTGCCCCATCGTGGTCAGGACACATCATAGCGATTAGTCGAACTCCCGGTTTCCTGGTCGAACTCCCGAGAGGCTACTTTGCATATTAGCCTTTTATATAGAGATGTGAGAACATGTAATTGTATATCTGAGTCTGTGTCATAATTACCCATGTTCTGCTTCCTGCTGTCGCTGTGTGTCCTTCTCTAGCACCTCTTTCCAGGAAAATTAAAAATGGCAGTGCACCCATTAATGAACCAGACATCAGGGCAGAATTCTCTGACTCCAGTGGGGTAAGAAACCATATCCATGTCCGGTCAGAGAATTTTACATTCTATGGTCAGGCCCTAGGAGGCAGTTGAGGGGCTGAGACAACTATGTCCTCTAAATCCTCATAGAGACCTATAGTTTAAGTACAGTAGTGTATCTGATCACGGGACCCACGTGTGATTTCCCCTGGACTAGTAACGACATGGGGGGTCAGTTTGTTCCAAGCTTTTTGAAGGCAAGGACTTTGTCCTTCATATTTATATGTGTCAAATCCTGGTATCTTATAGAGATTAAGTAAGTGAGAGAAAGAATAAACTTTTGGGGCAAATGCTGAATTTTATTTCCTTCCTCCAATTTATTGAGATATATTGACATATAACATTGTATAAGTTTAAGGTATATGACATGATTTTCTGCATTTTAAAATATTAATTCAAAAGTAGACATGAGCTTTCTGTGATTTTCATAATAATGCTAAAAATGTATTTTATAAATACAAGAAATTATTTTCTTATTGTAATAGAAAACTTTTCAGTGTCTCCAGTAATTAGATTTAACTTCCTTTGGATAACACTCTTGATACACAAACAAAACCCAGTGGAGAGAAACATGAGTGAGAAAAACCCCAACCAGAGAGACCAGGTATTTACAACCCACCAATGAGTACCTCTGTCTCAACCAGTGGAAATATGTTACTTAAAAAAAGAAAAAGAAAAAAATAATACTGATATATAGGGTATATTTATTTATACGTGTGCCATTTTTACCAGCCCTTACTCCTCATAGTGACCATCATAAGCTATGTATATTGATAGTTATTCCCCTTTTACAGAAGAAGAAACTGAGATTCAGACGGGCTCGGCCAGGAGCCAGCCAGTGGCAGAGCCCCAAGTCAGTGCCTCACGGCTGTGCTCTTCTGGCCGGGCCAGGCTGCCTGCGGGCTTTCTGGGTTTCCTCTCCCTGGGCCTCTGTTCCTTGTTTGCTGTGGGGTTTGGATGCTTTCACATGTGAGTGAACCTGGCTCAGCCCACAACCAGGCAAACAGAAGCACCAGTCTCTGACAGGGCTCTGAGCAAATACGCCAGATCAGGCCTGTCCTACATGTACTTTGCCCCAGTGAATCAGCTCCTTGGAGGCCGGGCAGTTGCAAAGGTAACCGACTGGCTGTAGATTGGAGGGCCAGGTGAGTCTTGGTAGATGTGGCACCTGGACTTTGGCAGTCTCCACGAGGAGAGGAGACACTCTTGGGCCAGGTTCCTGGGACCGCGCTGAAGGAAGGTGGCAAGGCGTCAGAGCAGGTGTGTGGGAACCTAGCTACCTTGTGTCCTCTCTCTTACCTCTGCTTGCTGGGCTGTCAGATTAGTAGAGGCAACGTTGCCCTCACTGGGGCCAGGGAGGGTCATGGATGTGAACTCTCAAGTGTGACTTGTCACTGTGGATGGAACGCCTTCATTCTGAGAATCTTAGTTGCCCTTGGGTTGCTGCGTTTAATTATAACCCGAGGATTGATTTACTGGAGTTGATATCTCTTGACAACAAAATGACAGATTTTGGCGAAGAGATTGGGTGTTGTGCCTTTGCAGTCAGGGAAGGCTGCCCAGTGAAAATATCTGGGGACAAGGTGACGGAGACTTTCTTTCATGGGCTCAAATGGTATTGAGTTCCTCAGACCTTCAGGAAAGACCCACACATGGTTTCACTGTGTCTGGAGCATTTGGCCTTTGTTGGAATTTGCTAGAAAAAGCCTGCATTTTTTTTCAGGAAAGTGGGCTAACCTGGGTAAAAGGGTGCTAGTTTCCCTGAGCGGGGGTTGATCTTGAGGTGGAAGACACTTCTGCGCCTCGCTCTTCTGGACTGGTCTGTTTACAGCCCTCAGCTCATAGCGGTGGACCCTGGCTCTATGGCATTTGAGGAGAGTGACATGTTGATTTCCACACGTACCCTTTGACCTTTTGTTCTGATAAGAATTTTTATTTTAGGCAGGGAGTTTCAGGAGGGGGAGCAAGTGAAGTGGCTTCCATCAGAGTATTTCAACTGAAAACAGTTCCCAACAGAGAAAAAACAGGGTCTGACCGAGCTAACGAATTCTCCCATGCCTGAGCAGCAGAGAGGTCCGATGTGGGCTCTTCCTTTGGGGGCCGCTGGACGGGGCGGGGCGCTCCTCTGTGACATGGGCCGAGGAGCTTGGAAGGCAGTCTGAATTAGGAGCTGCTGCCCATTTGGAAGAATAAGTGGGGGAAATCAGTTTGATTCTGGGGAGACTTACAGGTTTTAAATCGCATCCAGGAGGATTACCAGGACATAGCTCTCTGGGCGGTCATGGAAGCAATCCCAAACTTTCGTCTTGTTGGCTCCCCGGAGGAGAGGCAGGCATTGCCTTGTTATAGGGCTGAGGACTAAAGGCCACTTTAAGGATTCAGGAAAGGTGTTTCTTGAGGCCAATTTAAGCTTCTTTTTGTTTAGGAAATGCCTTCAGCTGCCCTCAATATCCCAATCTTTGTCTCCAACACTAACTACTATTTATTGAACAGTTACCATAGACCAGATAGTGAACTGGGCACTTCATACGTTATCTCTAATTCTGACTGTAACCCTGCAAGCTAGTTATTATGATCCCCGTTTTATGGAGAAGGAAATTGAGGTTTGAATTAATTAACTAGCTATTAAGTGGCAGAGTTAGGATTTGACCTCTGGTCTAGATCTAAGCCCACTCTATCTCCATGATAGCATAGAATCCCCATAGTAAATGTTGAATCAGTATTTTCTGGTGGAATAAATGGACATTTATTTAATTGGAATACCTTGATAGGGTTTTGGAGCTTCATCTATTACTGTTCTGTCTCTCATGCCTCCCACATCTATTATTGCTCCAACTAATTGTACTTTTTAATTTTTAAAGCTACAACCACATACTAGTAGTTGTCTAGTCTGTTATTTATTTCACGTATCTGTTTGAGATTTTCCTCCAGATGTTTCTGTATCAATGGCTATGCGGTTTGTTTTAGATAGATTTTGAGAACCATAAGTGCTTTTTAAAAAATAAAAACCTCAACCAACCATCGTGTTTGGATATAAACCTAAAGTAATGATAATTTTGAGGTCTTTTTGTTTTTTCCTATAGGAAGATAAAATAACTACACAACTGACTAAAAAAGAGAGATATTCAGAAGGTCAGGGATGGAGCCCTGGATTCCCCAGCTGCCACCGCAGCCCCGGGGGAGGCCCCCAGCCCCATCCCAGGGTCCAGACCGAGGCCTTCGGAGAGATGGATATCATCAGCCTGTTCCTCACTCTTGGCACAAGGGAGAGAGGTTCCGTCAATGGCAAGACACCAGAAGGAGCTCCCAGCCACAGCAGGACCCCAAGGCAGACCACCAGCAGCCTCATTACGTACCCAGGCCCGGGGAATGGCATCAGCCGGTGCCCGGGGTGGACTATTACGAAGGGGGTTATCACCCTCACTTGTATTCAAGGTATGGTTTTAGAGCTTGGAATTGACCCAACTCTCCCGAGTGCTTACAGATTGTTCTTGTCCTTCTTCCTTTTCCTCTTATTTCTCCTTTTTGTTTTTTCTTTTTCCTCCTCCAACCTAGACATTGATGTAGCTAAACCCTTTACTCTCTCAAATTGACTGAAAAGAATAGTTCCCCTTTCTGTATCCCCTGGGGGTGCTGCTTAAAGAAGCCATCCGCATCTGATTGGGTGTTGGGGGCAGGGGAGAGGATAGAGAGGATGAAATTAAAGAGAGCAGATGAAACCCTCTATTCCAGGATTTCAAAAGGGCAATACTGTAACTATACGTAGACAATGGACTAGCTTCTCCTAGGCATCCCTATAAAAACTTTCTCATTGTCTTTGAGCCACTCTGATGCAGGGTTAGTATGACATCACCAGCATCAACAAGAGCCCTAGTACCTAGGATAGTATCTAACATGTGATAGGCATCCAGGGGGAAAAAAAAGCAATGAATGAATGGATGGGAACTAAAAAAAAAAAAAAGAAAAAAAAAATCAACCTCAGATAAAGCAGATGTAAGCTTGCAGGCTCCACATTCAGAAGGGAAGGGATCTCAGTGAGGCAATTCGAGGTTGGAGAATCTAGAATTCCTACTTCTGGGTTCTGAGAGCACTGGACGCACAATGTTTTATGGAATGTTGGAAGCCACATTCAGGTGGGGTGATATTTATCTGTCTGCAGATTCAGCACTGGAATTACGACAAATATTTTAAAGAATTTTGCCCCTACAAAATGCTAAAAAATTATTAATTCATGAAAATACTAACAATCTGAAATTTTCAAAGGAAATTATGTTAAGGACAGAGGCAATAAAAGCAATCAGATTTAAGATAGTTCAAGCTGACCTTTTCATCTCATTTCCATCTGTACTATGCCTGGGAATTGTAATGGCCTCGTGCTCATCTCTGGAAGGGGTTTTCTGGGATACTATCAGGGCAGGACTTTCTAAGATAATACCTTGTGTGGTTGGATGTAGGCAGTTGAAGAGTAAGAGGGATCATGGGGAGGAAGAATGAGACACTTTGCTATAAAGATCCCAGCTGTGTTCTGAATCAAAGCTCTTACTACTGCTCTGGGTCTGGATTTTCCGTGCATGGGATCTAGAATTAACTGTGCCTTTTAAGCAGGTTCTGGACCGGGGCCACAGTTTTGTCCTCTGAAGTTGTTTGTCCAATCTCCCGTTGGTTTCTCTCTTTACCACACTCATCCTTGAAATGACTGATTTTCTCTGTGCCATTTTAGGCCAGGCATTGATGATCCATACCAGAGGTATCACTCTCCAAGGGAAGAATATCCATATGGAAGTTATTACTACCCTAGGCACCCACAGCAGCAACCAGAAGAAAGAGGTATGGAATAACCTCCCAGAAGTCTTTGGGGTGGCTCAGCTGGTCTGATAGGCGGGGCAGAGGCCAAGGGAGCAATGCTCAGAACCTCACCTTGGGCACCTGCTCTACTGGGGTAGAAAGAACTGCCCCTGCCTACCTCTTTCTTGGCCAGATGAGGTCACGGCAAAGACACTACTGCTTGCTGTCTTGAGGAGAGGAGACAGAAGGCAGTCATTTTTCTTTGTACGTGTAGATGATAGTATTGAAACTTATCATTATGCTGCTAATATTAGGATAGTTTGCACTTCATTCACGTATTTTCTTCTGCTCATTATGGCCAAGATTATATTATAGTCTCTGACCAAATATCAGTGATGTACTCAAGTGTGTGACTGGCCTGTAATGAGTCTGACCACTATTTACCCTGAGGGTGCACATATGTGCCATTAGGAATTTATATCCTATACAACAGTAAGGCTTTAGATATATGCTAATGGCTGCTAGCAAAGAGAAATCTGTTTCAACATTGAACATATTTACACAACACACACACACACACACACACACACACCCCATCCTCACCATTGTACAGTTGTATAGGGCCATGCTAATTGGTTCAGTGAGGACTGAAGGGCATCTCACCATTAGCTCTCACGAATTTTACTCATTTTGGAAAATGTGTTTTGTACCTACTGTGCTCCAGTAACTCAGCTTCACAGCTTGTGTCTTTTCGGAACTTTTCACAAACAGAAAGTGACCTGCTTTATTTTGTTTTTTTTCTGAGGGTGCAGTGCCAAGGCAAGGGAGTCCTTATATCCGGCATGAAGACTATCGAGATCAAAAGTACCTCAATGAACATCATCATGAAAACCGGAATAGTCCATTTCGAGCAAACAGTGAGACCCAGTTCCAGTAAGTGTGAAAGGAGAGGCCAGGTCAACATGATTCAGCCAAACTCAAACTCTGTTAGGAAAATCTTTTAGCATCTGGTGCTGGGCCCTCACCTCTGGCAGCCCGTCTGCTTCTCTTGTGGGGATGTGGGAGTTTTGTTCTCGGGGATGGAGGTGTAGCCCAGGATGGCCCAGGCCAGGGTGAACAGGAACCCTGGGAGGAGAGATTCTTAACTCAGAGATGTGGCTCTCAAACCTGGACTAGCCTGAGTCCTGTTTCTTGACGTCCATCAGAAAGCAGGGCCTTTATTCTATGTTGGTCTCAGGACAAGTGTGGCCTTGCAAAAGTTCTCATGATTGGGTCCTGCCCGGGGCTGGGATGCTTCTCTTCTGCCTACTCCTGTGCCCTAAGAACAGGACATCTTTTAGGATCAGGCAAGCAGGGGATGGGAACAGCCTTTTATACTAGTACGGGTCCTGGTGCCCTTAGGTCTGGCACCTTTACCCTGGAACCCATCAATCCCACTGCTCTGATTTAAGTCATTCTAGATGTCAGGCAGCAGGGACCACCCTTCTCTGCAGGGTTCGGGGCAGCTTCTAGCAACTGCACTGGGGAGCCAAGGAGCCCCTATCTTCCTGGTGTTAACAGACTGAGGTGGTAAATGGAAGGACAGTGCTTCTCTCTGCAGCACACAGGCCAACCTGACACCTGTCCGCACTCGACAACAGAACCACCTCCCGCAGAGAGCAGCTCAGCCTTGCTGGCTTGCCCAGGACCCCCTCTCACCTCTCCTGTCATTTTGCTGCAGATCTCAGAGTGGGAACCCTTATAGAGACAGCCCTGCTTCTAACTCTGGACAGGAGTGGCCTGGGGACCTGCTTCCGGAGAGTCTGCTAACTGGGGCCCAGAAGAATAAGGTAACTTGAAGTGACATGGGGCTGGTGGCCTGTGACAGTGCCTTCCAACTACATCGTCAGCAGTGGCAGGACAGAGCCCTGGAGACGGGGCCTCCAGTGGCCAGCAGACTGAACATCCAATTCTTCCTCTCTTGGCAGAGTCTCCACTCATCCCTCCTCTTTTCTCCATTTTTCTGTTTCAACCCAAAGGGCCTGGGGCCCTGATCTGGCCCTTTTACATTTTTGCCAAATTGGCTGAATCGGGAAATGTCACACAAGTCACTCTGAGGTGCTGGTAAACAGAGGAGAGGCTGCCAGCAGTTTGGTTCACCCAGGAAGTGGGAAGTTGCTAGAATCTTTTAATTCAGGGCTGAAAAGCAGCGCTTGAAGCCTGTCTTGACATTTAATTGTTATTTATTATTATTATTTTTTTTTTGCAAAGCATTCTTTTTAAATACAAATTTATTGATTTTAGAGAGGGAAGGAGAATGAGAGAGAGATAGAAACATCAATAATGAGAGAAAATCATTGACCGGCTGCCTCTTGCATGCTCCACACTGGGGATAGAGTCTGCAACCTGGGCATGTGCCCTGACCAGGAATTGAACCCTGATCTCCTGGTTCATAGGTCAATGCTCAATCACCGAGCCATGCCAGCTTGGCTGTCTTGACTTTTTAGAAGACCATCTCTACCACCTGTCTTCTAAAATCTTACTGTGTATACCACCTGGGTAAAAAAATGGAGCTCTTAAATAAAAAAAAACCTCACATATTTATTTTGGAAAAATTTTAGGTTTATGGAAAAGATGCAAAGACACTGTGGTGACCGGCTTTTAATTTTTGACAGTCTTGTATAAATTTTTGTTTCCATGATTGGATTTGTATGATTTTTTAGAACAGTTTCTTCTGTCTACCTAATGCTCAGTAGGGCAGGCCACGTGCTATCATGAAAGCAGGCATACACATACAACACTTTACAGTGACAGAGAGCTTTTGCATCCAATGTTTTATTTGTATCCTCCCAGGAGGTAAGCTCCATGAAATTTTTGTATGCCTATATCCCCAGGGGAAGCACAGCGCCTAGAGCATAGTAGGTGCTCATTAAATAGCTGGTGAATGAATGCATGATTAAGTACTTGAACTATGCAGGACAGCTATGATTATCTATATTATAGATGAGAATACCCAGCTCAGAGAGCCCAAGCCACTTGTCATAAGGTCATAGACGCTTGATATTGACAAAGCTGGGATTTGATTCCAGGCCTCCTGCCCCTCCTGGGCCCAAGGCCTGCACTCTTTCCACTGGAACATCTGCATCCCTTAGCGAACACCTGTCAATCGAATCATCCATCCCTTTCCTTTCAACACATTCACATTCACTGTATTTATTTTAAAGTTCGGAACACTTGGGAGGACCATCTTTCTGAAACTGTTTCTGATTCTTCCCATGTGTTTTTGTTGTTTTCACTTCCAGCCACCACTGCCCCAGGAGTCCAACCTGCTTGAGCAGCATGAGTCTGGCCTCAGCTCCAGTGGCTATGAGCTCAGTCAATACATGGCAGATGCCTCCGAGCCTTATGTCCCCACGGCTTCAACAGTTTGGAGACCAGTGAAGGCTGGTGGGTGCTGAAGTGATCAAAGGAGTTGGTTGTGTCTGATGGGAAGAGGGCTGGGGGCAAGTTTCTCGGAAAGACACCTTACCGTGGCTTCCAAGAGTAGAGCATTGTTCACCTCATTTGCTTACACAGGTTTCCTGGGCAGAGGTCCGCTTGGCTCCATTTCCCACCTTTTCTCTTTACTGGACATTGCATCATAGCGGGTTCTCGGTAGGGAACCCTGCCCCTAGCCATACTGGGCACGCTTTGGTGCTTTTAAGTAGCAGGTGAAGGAAGTTAGGGCTGGAGTCAGGTTGGTAAAGCAAGGGCAGGCCACAAAGCATTATCGCTTTGTCTGGATGTGGCTGACTTGTCTAGTCCCGGCCTCTCTCCATTGCCAAGAGTCTGGGCCTTGCGTGCTATTACCATTTGGACCAACCATAACATCCTTGCATTATGTTCTGACATATTCTCAGGGGCTTACATCTGCTTCTACTGTAGCCCACCCAGAATCTTATCTGGGTCCTAGGTGGAATTTACACAGAAATGTGTTTGTGGCATCCTGCTAAGTAGAGAAAAGCAGTGGCAGTCATGCTAACAGTGTCCACCTGTGTCTGTTGATCAGAGGCTGACTTGGCAGCTGATCCCAAGGCACCCATGAAGTTCTACGTCCCTCATGTGCCTGCGAGTTTTGGGCCAGGAGGTCAGTTGGTGTGTGTGTGTCCCAACTTCCCCAGTGACGGGCAGACGGCCCTTGTTGAACTGCACAGCATGGAGGTAAATAAGAGTCTTTGTTCCCAGAATGCTCCCTGCTCCCCTTTGCCTGAGCCTGGCATCTCCTGGAACAGGAGCCTCTTATGGGGAACTGGGTGGGGATCTTCTCTGAAAGAGGTGATGCTGGACTTCCGTTTTCCCTGAGATGCTATTGGCTCAGTTTCAGCCACTGGCGAACTCGCTTTCTCCATGAGGAGGCATGAGCTGCACTTTGGGACCACAGCCTTGGTTTCTGATATTGGGCATTGTTTGGACATTGTCTTGAAGAGCAAATCTAATTTTTGTTCCAGGTTATTCTTAATGATTCTGAGGAACAAGAAGAGATGAGAACTTTCTCAGGACCCCTGATCAGGTAAATGAGCATTTGAACAGCCGAGTAAAGCCTTTTGAGACATACACAGTCTTCCTGCTAAGAATAGGATTTTGGGGGTATTTGTTCTTGGCTTCTTTGAAAGAAAATGTCTGTCCCCATTAGAGTAGAATTTTCTGTGCTACCAGACAGAGCCTAATGTGGCCTGATCCTTTTTTGAGAAGCAACTTACTAGTTGAAGAGGGGGAAGAACAATTAATGTGAAGGTTTAAAAATCTGAAATCAGTTCCATTTTGCAGAGGTGACATGGTAGGAGGTTTTAGTGTTCCGTGTTCCTAACAGACATTAGTGCGGAAGTGCAGCATCATCCGGGACGTCACAGACAAGTGGATCATAGTGGGGAAAAAGGCTTGCCTTTTTCTGGAGAGGGAACTGGTCCAAGTGAATTCCTGGATGGTGTGCAAGTCTGCCCTCTGCAGGATTGAGCTAGAACTGCTTTTAAATGCCCAGTCCCTTCTGATAAATATTCAGTGTCCTGACTGATGAGAACATCTGGGTTCTGGCCCTAGGCATCTTACTAACTAGATATACCATGGCAGACAGGCCATTTAACTCTCTTTGGCCTTAGTTTTCCCCTTAAGAAATTATGTCACACTGGTTCTGCCCACTCCAGGCAATGGCCATGAGACACAAGTGAGATTTATGCACATGGAAGCCCTTTAAATAGCAACACCGTTATATAAATGTATTCTTAACCTGGATCTTTCCCTCTAAGAAAATACCCATTTAGTATTTTGACAGCTCTTTTAAGTAAAATGAGTATGTTTATTTCTTACACTCAGGTATACAGATGTGAGCAGAGCATCAAATTGGGTATTTTGGACACTAGGATACTGATCCCAATTGGGCATTGATATTATTAAATAGTCTTAAGCAAATAATACTGCCTGTTTATTGAGCACTTAATATATGCTACATAACTTGCTAATTTCTTTTTTGTATGGAGGTAGATTTTTTACAATTATTCTGACCTTAGGGGGAAAAGCTGAGGCTCAGAGGAGATAAGAAAGTTTTGTCAGCTGAGACATGGCAAGCTAGATTTAAGTCCAGAGTTGCCTGACTCCAAAGAGTGCTCTTGCCTGCTACCCAAGGCAGATATTTCAGGTCTCGGGGGCCTCAGTCTCCTCACCTGTAAAATGGAGAAAGTAAATGCGAGAACATCTGAAGTTTCTTCCTGTTCCACAAAGAAACAGCTGTACTGTAGCTACTAGTATAGACTTGTTCTCCCTGTCCTGGTCCTGGCTTGTTGGGTCCATCCAGCACCCTCACACTAGGGGAGGAGCTCACGGTCCGGCATGGGGAAGAGTCTGCCCGCTCACCCTTTGCTCCCTGAAATCTCTCCATAGGGAAGATGTCCACAAGGTGGACATCATGACCTTTTGCCAGCAGAAAGCAGCTCAGAGCCGCAAATCAGAGACACCCGAGAGCAGAGATGCAGCTCTACTATGGCAACTGTTGGTTCTGCTTTGTCGACAGAATGGGGTGAGTATCACCCCTCTGATGGGTGGGCAGGAGCAGGCTGTATTGAAATGTAAGCCTTCCTGGGATAAGTATAATTTGGCTTATGACATAATAATAAAAATTAATAGTAAAGAAGCAACACGTGGTCTCCCAAATTGCTCAGATGTCAGTGCCAGTTTGCCAAAACTGACCTTCACTTTGCCCTTCTGTACTGGCCTGGGTTATAGAGAAGGTGTTGGGTTACTGCACCAGCCAGATGATACTCCTATGAGAGTGTGCACATTTCTTTGTGGCACCTGAGTGTGAGACACAGCAATCCAGTGCTGGCCTCCCCAGGAAGAAGGCAGGCCCTTCCGTGTCTACTTCTTCACCCCCATGAGGATGAAGAGGACTCTTTCTCCCTCAGGATGACCCTCTTTGCCTTGCAGTCCATGGTGGGGTCTGACATTGCGGAGCTGCTGATGCAAGACTGCAAGAAGCTGGGGAAGTACAAGAGGCAGCCGCCCGTGGCCAACCTCATCAACCTGACCGATGACGACTTGCCAGTGCTCAGCTCAGGGACCCCAAACCTGCTCACTGGGGAGATCCCCCCCAGTGTGGAGACACCCGCCCAGATCGTGGAGAAATTCACTAAGCTGCTCTACTACGGAAGGAAGAAGGCAAGTGCTCTTCGGCAGGCTTGTTTACAAAAGTAACCACTGTCCGTCCCCACCACTCAGTCCTCCTCCAATTAGATAAGGAATATATATTCACTTTATATATTCACTGGAGTTCAGGAAGGTACAAAGAAGAAAATAAAAAACACCCATAATCCTACCATTAAAAGATAACACCAGTTACCATTTGGATATATTTACTTCTAGCTTTTTTTTCTATGCATATAATGTATATTCTAAATAAAATAAAATAATTTCTTTTTTTTTCTTCTAAATACTCCCATGGCATTAAAATGTATCACTTAAAAAATGGTTGGATAGAGTGGGAGGAGGTAGAAGTGAGTATAAGGAGGATAAATGGTAGTGGAAGGAGACTTGACTTGGGGTGGTGAACACACAATAAAATATACAGATGATGTGTTATAGAAATCTACACCTGAAACATATCTAACTTTATTAACCAATGCCACTCCAATAAATTCAATAAAAAAGATTCTACATGAGTAAAAAAACTGCTTGGACAATATTCCAACATATGAGGGAATCATATTTTATTTAACCAATCCACTATTGTCAACTATGTGGGCTATCGACTATTTTGTCACCCATTATAAATTATACACTTAGCACATGTCATGTAAGTCTCTTTAGGATAAACTTCTATAAGTGAAATTACTGGGTTGAAGGGCATGCACTTTTTAAAAGTTCTTCAAGTATATATACTAAATTAGTTTCTGGAAAGTTTGTTTACAAGCTGTACCCCCACCAGCTGTATCTAAGGGGTTCCTGCCAATATTGAACACTTTACTTCAGCAGATGAAGTGATGTCTTGCTTATTTTTTTGATATGTAAACTAGACAACATTATTTCTTTACATTTGCTAGTGAGCTATATTTGATAAATAAAATGGTAAGGTATTAAAGTGTACATTGTAGTGATTATAAAAATGTATACATTGCAAAAGGATTCCCCTCCCCATCGAGTTAAGTGACAAATCCATCACCTCACGTATTTACCTGTTTTTATGCCTTGTTTAAGTCAAACTCACATTTTACAAAAGTCTTAAATTAACTTAAATATTATAATATGTGATTAAAATCAGTGTGAATCAATTTTATTAAAAAAATGGAAAGATAAAAAGAGATATAATGGGGAAATGGTGCCCCCACCTCTTCTGCTCTCCTGTGAAAGCAGCCACAGATGGCATGTAAATGAGTGGGCGTGGCTGTGCTCCAGTAAAACTTAATGGACATATAAATTTGTCTTATATATAATTTTCATGTGTAATGAAATACTGTTCTTTTATTTCCACCACCTCTCCCCCCATCCCTTCGCACATTTAAAAAATGTAAAAGCTATTCTTAGCTTGTGGGTTGAATTTAGCTACATTTTGTTGACCCCTGCTCCTTATACTCTATAAATATCTTCCTTATTATGATTATGTTTTATGGCTGCAGAGGTCTCTATAGACAAATTATAATTAATTGAACCCTTATAGATTGACATTTAGATTCTGCCCAATCTTTTGCTGCTACAAACAATGCCTCAATGACTACCCATTGCCATTTGCCTTATGTAGATAGTGTAGGTGTGACAAATTTCTAGATGTGGAGGTGTTGGGTCAAAGGGTAGATGGTTTGTAATTTTGGTAGATAATGACAAATTGCCTTGTTGGAGGTTGTACCAGTGTACTCTCCCAGCAATGTATGAGGCTGGTTAAATCTGTGGGTGTGGAACCCATGGATATAGAGGGTGACTGTACCATCTGGCTACTTGTATTTTTAGACTCAGTCCTAGGGGGGAGGTGTTTCTCATTTTTGGTGCTCAGGTTCATAAAAGTACTGTGTACCGGTAACTTTTGCTTGCAATAAGGCCAACTGGAAGCTATGTTTGAGGGGGATTTAATGAAATAGCATGATGGATTTTGACAAAGTGGAGGCTGGAGAAAAGGACAACTTAGAAATACATGCCAGTTAAAGCCCATTTCCCATATGAGGCTCTCAGAGTCTTCGTGCTCAGGGGACAGTGGTACCTAAGCACAGGGGAAGGTGAAGGAGAAACATTGAATGTGATGCTTTGTTTTCAGGAAGCCTTGGAGTGGGCCATGAAGAACCATTTATGGGGCCATGCTTTGTTCCTGTCCAGCAAAATGGACGCCAGGACTTACAACTGGGTCATGAGTGGGTGAGCTGGGGACTTGCATTGGAGACCAAGGGAGCAGAGTGACCCCCCCAATAAATGTGGGGGACAGTGGGGAGAAATCCAAGATGCATTGAGAGCTCTATGCTCCCCTCTCCCCCATTCCAAGCATCTTTCCAGTTTCTGTTTTCTGAGCTGGATGTAGCATTTCTCTTCCCCAGGTCCTTTTAATCTGGATACAGTACATTCTACCTGCCAAGCTGAATAAAACGTTTTAGTAATATTTCCCAGAGTCAGGATTTCCACAGAGTTAAGTGGGTTTCTATATTGCAATAGCCTTCTTCCTTGGGAAGGGCTGTTCTAGATAGTTCCATCAGTGAGGGAATACAAATGATCATGTGAGGTTAATAAACAGAGCCTTAGGACTGAGGATTAGTACATGTCTATTGCTTAGTCTTGCAGTGGAGGTATGGGTGCTGAGGAGAAGGTAGGGATACAGGTAGCAGGACCATGAGCTGTGGTAGGAAAGGGGATTATGGGACTGGGAATTAGATCAGGAAGTCTTCATCAAGGGTGGTGGGAGTTGACAAAACCAAAGGGGTACATTTATTTTTATTTTTATTATTTATTTATTTATTTTAAAAAATATATTTTATTGATTTTTTTACAGAGAGGAAGAGAGAGGGATAGAGTTAGAAACATCGATGAGAGAGAATCATTGATCAGCTGCCTCTTGCACACCTCCTACTGGGGATGTGCCCGCAACCAAGGTACATGCCCTTGACAGGAATCGAACCTGGGACCTTTCAGTCTGCAGGCCGATGCTCTGTCTATTGAGCCAAACCGGTTTTGGCTGAAGGGGTACATTTAGTTAGAAATCATGCCAGCATGTCAAGATTCGGGTGCCAGGTGGACCAGGACAAATGCCCAAACCAGGATGAGATATGAATGGAGGTATGAGTACACAGCCAGCAGTTTGGAATAAAGTGGATGAAACAGCAAAAGAGAATCAGGATCACTGGAGAGGGTAGGTGTAGGGGTGCTCTCTAGTTACCGAAAATGGCTACTTAGTGCTTAGTAAGTGCTCTACAGACCCAGGCTAGCCATGGGCTGGGCACGGAGGAGGGCTGCTAAGGTAGCAGGGAGGGGCTGGAAAAGAGGGGCCCACAGGGAAGAGGTGCAGGTTAACTGCTAGGGCTCTTCAGGACCCTTGGAAATGTTGGCGGGTCACCTCCATGATGGAGGGAGGCCTACAGAAATGGTTGCTCAAGAGTTAGGGTGTCAGTGCCAAGGAGCAGAAAATCTCCCTCAACAATGGGATCTTCCTGGGGTGTGTGGTGGAATGAAGATTCTGCCTCCCCCCCCCCCAAAGTGGGTGTGACAAAAGCACAACAGAAAAGCAGAGGAACTCTTGTTCCAAAAGAAGCTGCTACAATCAAATAAAAATGTACCGAGGCCTGAGCCTCATGGGCAATGGGGTGAAGACTCTTTTGGCTTGGTCACCACTGATGGTCACCTCTCTCCACAGTTTCACAAGCACACTGGCGCTCAATGACCCACTGCAGACCCTCTTCCAGCTCATGTCGGGGAGGATCCCACAAGCAGCCACGGTACCCTTTAACGCCCCAGCATCCTGAGGGTTTAGCGGGTGGAGACTGCTCTGGAACAGGGGATGGCTTTGAAGATTAAAAGTCAAAATAATTGTTAATCACTTACCATGTGTTAAGCACTCTGATTCATATTATGTCATTTAATGCATGGAGGTAGGGGTTACTGTCCCTGCTTTGCAGACGTGAAAACTAAGGTACAGAGTGTGAGATGACCCATGGTCACAGAGCTAGTGAGTAGTGGAGTCAGGATGGGCCCAGGTCTGTGATTACAAAGACCTTGCCAGTCGCACAGTAACACATCTGCCTGCTTTGTTTGAATAACAAGAAACTGTTCTCTAGACTTCTATAGACTACTTTCCTTTTCCTCCATTGCACCTTGATCTTCAAAGCTGGACTTAGAATTTACACATTGTCTAGAGCTGGATATGGCTCAGGTGACATCTGAGACCAGCCAGATAGTTTTCCACTTTAAGAGGTCTTTTTGCTCAGGTATTCCTTCCGTATCTTTGAAGTCCAATAATGAGGATACATCTTCGTTGATAGTCTCGGTCAGTTTTTTTCTTGGGATGCAGGATGCTCTTTTACTAAGTGTATTCTTATCTTACAGTCCAGAAAAGTTTTCTTGAATTATATTCTTCAGTATTTGTTTTATTCTATTATTTTGATTTACTTTTCAGGAACTCCATTTGTACACATTTCATATATTAAATGAACTTTAGATATGTGAATTACAGAGATGTGCAAAAGTAGGTTTACATTTATGAATATACAAAACAGTTAATAAAGTTATTGTAATAATCATAACCTATATTTTTTCATACCAACCACTGTAAACCTATTTTTGCCCACCCCTGTATATAATTTTCTCTTTAAAAAACTTTATTTGTTTTATTCATTTATTTATTTATTTGTCTCTTTTAATTTCTACTCTGATTGTGTTTTCATCATTGTCTTTTAGTTTTTATATTCTTTGCATTTTGGTCCTCATTTCTTTGGTGTTTCTCCCACTTCCTCCTTGAGCTCTGCAGGTCACATGTTATCTCCTCCTGTTCCCACCACCTCTTCCCTGAGCTCTCAAAACTGAGCTTTAGGCCCTTGCTTCACAGAAATTGTTTCATCACTTTATTTTATTTAAATTCATGAGAAAATATGTGGTGACAATTCTTGGTTTTATAACATTTTTTTTCCTGGTGAATGTTCTTTTGACCTTGCATTTATTTTCTCAGTTACTTCTCGCCCTTTATCTTTGCAGCATGTTTGTGCAGACTCTGTGCTTGTTCCTTTACAGAAGTCGCGTCTTCTCTGGCCCGCTATTTGTGGGAGGTTTGTGCTGGGAGGGACGAGGGCCTTTGCAGGCCACCTGGCGCTGCTCGCATCCCCTGGTGTTTCCTGTGAACGTCTGTGTGGCCTTCGCTGCTCCTCAGCCAGTGAAGGTGGCTGAGGGTCCTTTCCCTCTGTGTTCTGTCTGTGTGCTCGCGAATGCACCTCTGTTCACTCGTCATCACTTGGCAGCCTTTTCTTGTATTTTGAGGTTTGGGTTTCTGCTGACACCTAGCTTTAATGGAAATGGACCTCACAATTGCTTTTTGATTTTTCTTATTGCTTGGGCACAACTCCACACAAAAGGGAAATGATCACTTACATGCCCCATCATCAAGCCAACTGGTTACACTGGAACACTGAGTCCGCCTCCCAGTTCGGCCGAAAGCCTGCGCCCTGCAGTGAGATTGCATCATGTCATAAAAAGCAGGAAATGATGCAGTCAGTTTACAATCCCTTGGCTCAGGGCAATGGCAGAGTTAGCTACATGTTCCCTACTTGTAGATGAGAAAGAAAACCAAGGAGTCAGAGGTGATGTGCCAATGCTGTATTTGATCTCAGGGCTGGAGAGTTTCCTGGCCTCACAGGGTCCCGTAAAAACTAGACTTCAGTTACTTGTGATGAGGGGTGTAGTGGGAAAAAAGCACGACCACCAGAAATCATAGGTGTGGGCTGCCAGCACAGGTATAACCTAGCTTCTGCCCCTCTGCGTTGTGAACTTGACTTTGTTCCTTAATCACAGAGCCTCAGTTTCTCATGTTTGTGGGCATTTTGATGCCTAACCAATAGTTATTGTGAAAATTGAAGGAGAGAGAATATCTGAACACATCAACCATCATGCTTGACGTGTTGAAGTTAGTTAATAAGTATTTGTGCTTTCTCACTCTCTCTCCATAGATCTAATTTATAGTGACTTTTAAAAATCACTTGAGGAGACAGAAAAATGTCTTTCAAGTTTTTGTTGTTTTTAGCAAAGGCTTTTCTTTTGTTGGTTTCTTTAGTTCCAGCAAAAAAGAGCCTGGTGCACATGTGAAGATGGGGATAATAATAGTACCCAAAGCACGGGGCTGTTCCCAGGAGAAATGCTTAGCACAGGGCATGGCTCATGGCTGGAGTGTAATAAGTGAGAACTGCTATTAGGATTGTGACTTATTATTATCTTCATTCTCATTCACACTGCATTGCCCAGATAAACAGTAACTGTAAAATGGAGTCGGATAAAGCTTCTTTTGTTCCTTGGGATAATTACAAAGACCAAGTAATTGTGAATAGTTTTGACCTCCACATCTTAGCTTTTACTGTCAATCTCCTGTTCCACCCGCTCTATGTAACAACTGGAAGTTAAGCTGGTCTGCAAAGCACCTCTTTTTTTTTGCTTTGTGTGTGTGTGTGTGTGTGTGTGTGTGTGTGTGTGTGTGTAACTACATGTAATTTATAAAGTGAAAACCAGCTTTACCTAATTATCTTATTTTAGTATCAACAGTAACCCTCTTAGGTAGAAATTATGATCTCCGTTAAAGAGATGAGGAAACAAAGGTTTAATCACATCGAGAAACTTGCTCAAGGTCACACAACTAGTAAGAAGCAGGAGTCCAGTTGATCCTGGGCCCTTGTTATTTCTTTGACATTATGGTGTTTCTTTATTGGTGTTTCCTGCCCTGAAATTCCCAGAGGGTAGGAAAAGCACCATTTGTGTGAGTCTTCCTACACCCACATCTTTGTTTATACTTTACTGCCTCCTGGTGGAGATCTGCTCCTGCAGTGTCACCAGAGGGGGAGGGGCATAGCCCTCAACTGGGAATGAATGGGGCTGGGCCACTTGGCTTGGGTTTTCATTCTCCAAGTGCAGATAGAAATTAGATTTCATTGGGTTGTTGTGAAGATTAAATAAGATGACGTTTGTGAGAGGGCTTTGTAAAACCAGAAAGTATTAGCTCTTTGTAAGGTATTAAGGAGTCCAGTGTTCCCCTGACTTCTGTCAGGCTAATGTGGACTCTTCTCCTCTTGAGCCCAGTGTGTTTGGTCTTCCTTCTCCCACTCAAGCATCAGGGTTTTATTTTCATTTTGTCCCTAGCTACTGGGGACTGGGGAACCAGGAAGAAATTTGAAAATTAGTGATTGATAAAGTCATTTTATTTATCTATCTTATCCCCATGTATGTATGTATGTATGTATGTATATATGTATGTATGTATGTATGTATGTATATGTATCTGCTTGTCTGCCTAGCCATTGCTCTTGGGGTTTTGCTCTTTAAAAGGAGAACTTGAAATCAATGAATGGCAGTATTGTAGGCGGTGTGGTGGGTGTCTTCTGAACGCTTCCAAATCAGGATATAGACAACAAGTTTCTTTACATCCATTCTGGCCAGTGCTACTTTATTGACTAAATCTTCATTTTTCCCCCGCTGCTTTTCAGTGTTGTGGGGACAAGCAGTGGGGAGACTGGAGGCCTCACTTGGCTGTGATTCTGTCGAATCAGGGTGGGGACCCGGAGCTGCATCAGCGTGCGATCGTCACCATGGGGGACACCCTGGGTAAGCAGGCGTCAGCACCATCCTCCCCTTCTCCTCTGGGGTAGCCCCAGGCCCTGCACACCTGTGCTCAGGTTTTTGGGTTCTGTGTAGGACCCAAGTATATCCATTCAGTTTGCTTTTGACCCAGGAGCCTCAGTGTTTTGGGGACAGAAATTTCAGGGAAAGGAGTGTCCTGGCTTCTCTGTTTCCCAGAAGTTCTGCAGCTGTGGGAGGCTCCTCTCAGCAGGGGACCTTCTGTCTGACTCCCCTGAGGATGAGCTAGGACACGGGACATGTGGCCTCCTGTAGCCGCTAGTCCTGCAGTGACCCAGCTCAACCAGACAGGAAATTCTATTTGTGCCTGAACTACTGTGGATAATTGTGGAGTCTTTATTTCTGTCCTCCTTCTGTGAACGCGGCCTTATAAACACTTAAGGACTATTGAATGTTTCGGATCAGTAGTTCTCAGATTTGGTCAAGGGGCAGGACATTGAGAAATCATGGTTCTCTCTGTGGAACTCTGTGAAACGTAAAATAGCTTTGTGTAAGGTTGTGCCAACCCAGATGGCAGGTCACTCCACAGCTGGGTACAAAGGGAACCTGACGTTCGTTGAGTCCTTCTGAGGTGCCAGGTGCCTTGCTGGGTACTTTACCTACTTGAATTAACTCGGTTTTGAGGTAGTAGAACATTTTAAACTTGGGAACAATTTAGTATTAATGTGATTTTTATGAGCACCGAGAAAAGGCTGGTATTGTTTGATTTCAGCAGGGACTGCATTAGTGCCCCAGGAAGCCTGTTTTAAAACTGTTCCTTCTAATGGAACTGTTCCAGCTCAGGTGTAGGCATTTTACTTGCTTTTCACCCTCAGGAAGGACAAAAATATTTAGAAAATTCCTAATAAAAAAATCCATTAGGGGTGACGTGAAACAGTGTCTTATTGTGGCTGAAGAAATTACAGTGTAATGTTTGAAGCCATAAATATGGTGTGAGAAGGACTGGGTGGGGTTTGGGGTCTGTGAGGCTTCTCCCTCTGGCCTCTGAGCCACTCTTCATGTCTCCATCCCACTTGTGATGGGTGCCCACGTGGGCGTGTTCATGATTGGGGCTTGTCCTCCTCCTGCAGCTGGGAAGGGGCTGGTGGAGGCAGCTCACTTCTGCTACCTCATGGCTCACGTGCCCTTCGGCTACTACACGGTGAAGACAGACCATCTGGCCCTGCTGGGCAGCAGCCACAGGTATGTGATCTGGGGCAAAGGAAACAGGATGTTTTCTGGGGTATTAGTTTAGCCCTTGTTGGACTCCATTCCTCCATTTTCTGGTGTGAATTTCAGCTTCCACCGGTCCCATCCTCTGGGGTAGTTTTCTGCACCGGTCTGGGCAAGGAGATGCCCAGGGGGCGCCGCATCACACCACCAGGTGGCCTTTTGTGGGAAATGTGCCCTTGTGTTGTATTGTGCACCTCTAGCCACTTGGTGGCGCCCTGAGTCCATGACCAGGGATGGTTATAAAATGTTCGTGTGAGCACCTTGCAGCTGAGTGTCAGGCAGTCCTAGGCAAACTGGAAAGTGGAAGAAGTTGATGTTTAGCTCCTACACCCCTGACTTTGTGCACAAGCTACTGATTTGGTGCACAAGCTACTCAAAGTTCTACCTTTCACTTGTTCTCTGTGGGCTGTAGCATTAGGCTTTTCACATAAGGGGATTTTAATAAGCCCCTAGACAATGAATAAATGAACAAAAAGGCCAGTTTGCTCCATAGCAATCCTCCAAGTTCTGGACCTCTTTTCCCCTGACTCTGTAATAATTAAGATATCCTGAACTATTAGATTGTGCCAGTCAATTTATTTGCATTATTTCCTTCCATCATTACAAATGTGCCCTCTAAAGAAAATGTTATTTTTCAACTTCACTTTATAGAGGAGGAAAACCAAGGCACAGAGAGCTTAAGCAACTTGTCCAAGATAGCACAGCTGGTGTGGGGTCAAGTTGGACTTTGAATCCAGTCTGTGCTGCATCAAACTGCCTGCAACTGTAGAAACACCCGTCTTATTGCCTGCTCTCTCAAGGCCCTGGTCTCCGATAGCACATGGTTAGCTTATCAGAGAAGCCCATATGTGCCAAATGTGACAGTAAGAGTGTGCGGGTTAGTTTGTCTCCCTGCTATATTTGTATTATACCAGGAAATGTATGGAGATAGAGTCATAAACCCAGGGATGGCCCCGGAGACTGGTGAGCTGTTGAGGGAGAGATTTGATGGCTCCTCAGGTCACAGTCACCCAGCTGGCTTCCTCCCTGGCTGAGCCAACCTCCAGTACAGGGACCGTCATTGGGTTTTGGCTCAGCAGTCTCCCCATTCTCTGCCATGCATCTCTGTTCGGTGCTCCTGAAGTGTCACATGTCTCCCTTTTTGGTACCCTTTGGCTCAGGCTGGGAGTGGCCTGTGACAGGTGCACCTCCTAGGCTTTCTGGGCACCCAGGTGAGCTGTCAGTGTGTTCCAGAGGAGGATGCAGTGCCCCGCCATGTTGGGAGGGAGAACAGCCTGCCTAAGGGACCCTCTAGCAATGAGGGCAGAGGATTCCCCTCCCCGAAGTCTGCACCCCATCCCTTCCCAAGGGCTGGTGCAGGGCGGAGTTCTGTTCCTTACCCTGGAATGGAGGAGAAAGAGCTTCACTCTGGAGCCTGGCTCTCATTCCTGGCCAGGACACTCACCCTGCCATGGATGGGCACAGCTGGTGTTCAGCCATCTACTCGGATTCAAATTCCTCCCCCGCTCCCCTCCTCAATCTCTTTTATTATTATTCCCTGGCTTTAGTCAAGAGTTTTTGAAATTTGCAACCACTGAGGCTATCCAGAGGACGGAAATCTTCGAGTACTGCCAGATGCTGGGCCGCCCCCAGTCCTTCATCCCTTCTTTCCAGGTAACTGACCCCCGGGGCCAGCACCTGGGCTGTGGCAGCGGCTGTGGGCAGCTGGGTCGTCACCTACCACCTTAGCTTGAATGTGGGAAGGATTAATATTTCTTTCTAGGTCCCTCAATGTCTGCATTTTAAGATATGAAAGCAAAAGGCGGCAGTGGCCTCTGCTGGAGGCTCCCGCCTGGGTCCTGGCTGTGCAGCGCTCTCTCCCTTGTCCTGGGCCCACAGCCACCCTGCAGGGGGTGGGCATGAGGTCCCACTGGGGGCAGGGGGCTGCAGGCTGTGCTCCCTCCTGCTGGCCTGCTTCTCTGACCTCTCTCCACTCCTCCTGCTCTAACTGCAAATTCCTCCGTGCTGTCCTCAGCCCCCACCCTCTTATCTTCCCCTAGCACTTCAGCTGTGCGGGTGGCTCTGTCCTTCACAGGCTCTAACCTCTCTTCTCAACTGCTCTGCTTGATGTGCTGCTGTCACTTTCAATTCATAAAGCCTCCTTCAGTGCCTGCTCGAGTGGCCCAGCAGCGACACACACATGCACACCCACCACATGGAACACAAAACAAAACGTGGAAAATGAATGAATGAATTACAGAAAAATGGCCCTATTAGTACCTTCTTTCAGAGTTTCCCCACAGACTCGCCTTATCCAGCTCCTTGGGGTGCAGGCCTCTGGTCTCTTGCTATCTCGGGGCTGATGGTAATGAAATTAGCCAGTTCTGGTGAATGCCGTCTACATGCCTGGCACTGGGCTGTTATGCTTCTCATGTATTATTTTTAACCCCGCAAGGCTGGCGTGATGACCCCCATTTCACACAGAAGAGGAAATTGAGGTTCAGAGTTATGGGATCACATCTCTTGCACATCATTTGTTCTAAGTACTTTACATGGATTATCCCATTTAATCATTGTGACAACCAACGGGTAGATAGTATTATCCCCACTGTATAGTGGGGAAACTGAGGCACAGAGAGGTGGGTAGCCAGTGTTCCGCAACCAGCATGGAGCTGGGATGTGATTTTGGGCCTGTCTGTTTCCCAAACCCTTATGCTCCATCTTGCCCTGTTGTACATGTTTCTGTGAATGCTAACCTCCATTTGTCCACTTCAAGCCCATGCACCAGAACCATCTTTCCTTCTTGTGTATGTCTCCCTGGCACCTGATCCTGTGCCCCATGTACACTAGGCTCTCCAGGGGTGTGGGCTGCATTTCCATGGTGACCAGGACCTGGGGAGACTGAGTGGCTATGACTTCGTCCCTTTGTCTGGGAGCTGCAGGCTGTGCTTGGACTTGGGTCCGTGCATAGACAGAATGCCCCGGTGGCACGGGCCCTCTTTGATAGTTAGATGCCAGAGTCAGAGGAAGCTGGCAGTCAGCGGACTTCCAAGAAGTCTTTTCTTCATTTCTTTCTTTCTATCCCTGCCTGGGTGGACGAGTCATTGGCACTGTTCCTCTTTGCAGGTATATAAACTCCTTTATGCTTCCCGGCTGGCAGACTATGGCCTTGCGTCCCAGGCCTTGCATTACTGTGAAGCTGTTGGCACGGCCCTCCTCAGCCAGGGAGAGAGCATTCACCCTGTGTTGTTGGTGGAACTCATCAAGGTGAGCTTCTCAAAGGGTTCTCCGCAGCTGTTTTATCTGCAGCGTTCAGAGCAACTATTGCCAAGCGGCTTAGACTCCACCTTTCATCGTCTCTGAGCCTGCTGTAAAATAGGAGCCTGAGGTTGTCTTCGACCATGCATGCGTGCCCAGATGTGATAAGCAGAGGCCTGACTCTGTGCAAAGAAGGATGCTGTGGGCGGGGTGAGGGGTGTGGGGGGGATGACTTGGGATGGGCGCGGGAGACGGGGAACCAGGCATATGCAATGCAACACATTCATTCTTGCATCTGCTTCTCTGGTACAGCAAGACTGTACGTGAAGGTGAAACATTCTAATTATAAAAGCTGGGCTTAGAGAATATACTTTAGTAATTAAAACAGGAAATGCCCCTTATTAAAATGCTTTTAAATGCATGGAATACTTTATCACCTGTGGGATATCATTAAAAAAAAACAACAGAACATATCAACTTTTTAGGTTCCAAGGGAAGAAAACAATCAGGCAAATAGTTGTTCCAATTAATTGAAGAAAAATGCATTAGCTGGAGAGGAAAAAGGCAGCCTACCGTCAATATTTGTGTTGCTTTAGATGAGGCCCAAGTGTTGGGTTCGTTCTATAACCAGTGAAATCGGTGGTGCTGAACTCCTTATCCTGATATTCCTGCCGAGAGGATGGTGTTGGTAGTGAGCTCAGGGATTAGGATAGAGGAGGAAAGTTTTGAAATTTAATAATGGAATACAGTTTTGCAATACAAAATAGTCCCTCGACCCACTGCAGGGGTCACCTGGGAACTTGTTAGGGATGCAGAATCTCAGGCCCCACTTTAGGCATCAGAATTAGCATTTAACAAGGTCCCAGGTGGTCCTAGGAATTTTTTTTTTTTTTTTTTGTGTGTGTGTGTGTGTGTGTATGTGTGTTTTAAATCCTAACGGGGGGAGGGGGAGTGAAGAGAGAGAGAGAGAGAGAGAGAGAGAGAAACATCATTGTGAGAGAGAAACATTGATCTGTTGCTACTCGTACGTGTCCCGACTGGGGCATCGAACACACAACCTTTTGGTGTGCAGGGCGAGAGAGAAACATTGATCTGTTGCTACTCGTACGTGTCCCGACTGGGGCATCGAACACACAACCTTTTGGTGTGCAGGGCGATGCTCCAGACAACTGAGGGTATGAACACGGGAGTTTGAGAAACATCTGTACAAAGCAGACAGCTTTGTAGGACATACAGATCAGTAATCATTTCTCCTCAGGCTTCACTTAGTATTTAATATTTAGCACCAAGATGGGTTCATTGCTTATGTATGTTGCAATTTTGGGATGATAGCTGCTGGATTTGCTCTCTCTTGATGACACTTTATAATCTAATTTACAAGTGAGTTAAGGCACTTTCTGCTCTTCCCTTACTGCACCTTTCCCCATTTCCTTTCCATTCCTGTTCCTTCTCTTCTTCGGTTCCCCTCTTGTCCCTCTGCCCCTCCTTGCCTGGACACCTGGCACAGCTAGCAGAGAAGCTGAAGCTGGCGGATCCTCTGGTGCTAGAGAGACGCCGCGGAGGGAGGGACCTGGAGCCGGACTGGCTCATGCGCCTCCGGAAGCGGCACCAGGAGCTGGAGGTGAGTGGGCGTGGAGCGGGGAGTGTGCGGGCCCTTTGTGTCCCTCTGGACACAGAGGGTGTAGGCACTGACTCTATGGACGGCTATGGGGTCCCCCACCATCCTGAAGCCCCCTCTGACCTGGGGAAGGGTGGCACTGCGCTTCCTGCCACTGCCTCTGCTGAGCTGAACATTTTCCTGTGTTCGCTTGTGAGACCGTGGGGCCTTTTCAAAATCATTCCTGCCACCCTCTCTGCGGCCCCAGGAAGTACGTTTTATGATGATCAAGGCTTCCATCTCTCTGTAAGGAACAATGGATCACAGTGGACCCACATCCCTTTCATGTAATGTAGGGCATTTGCCTAAAAGACTTCCAGGCCTTTCCCTTTTTGTTCTGACAATTGCAAAAGCTGCAGGTAGTAATTGTGACAATAATTGGAACAGGGCTTCCTCCATCTCTTCCTAAAATTTTATTTTAAAGTTCTTATTTATTGGGGTGACATTGGTTAATAAAATTGCATAATTTTTGGGTATGCAATTCTACACCACATCCTCTGTAACAATACCATTACTATATCCCCTATGCTGTACTGTACATCCCCTCCATCTTCTTTCTCCCTCTGCCTCTTAGAAAGAACAGGTGCAGTTTTTAAGGCACAACCGGCCCTCCCTCCCTTCACGTGCTGTATGTACTGGGGCACTGAGTTCCTGCACTTGCCCCTTCCTGGGCCCTGGTGGTCTGGTCCCCTGGCCCCTGCCTGCTCTGGCAGAGCTGGGAGATGAGAAGGGCTGAGACCCACCCTCCTGACCTCTCCCACCAGCAGCCTACCCTTCCTCCTCTTCTCCCCCAGCATTTGGCTGGCTGAGGATCCCTCACCTTGTCACTCCCTCTGATTTCTTTTTTATTTAATATATTTTAAAAAATATATTTTACTGATTTTTTACAGAGAGGAAGGGAGAGGGATAGAGTTAGAAACATCGATGAGAGAGAGAGACATCGATCAGCTGTCTCCTGCATGCCCCCTACTGGGGATGTGCCCGCAACCAAGGTACATGCCCTGGACTGGAATCGAACCTGGACCTTTCAGTCCGCAGGCCGATGCTCTATCTGCTGAGCCAAACCGGTTTCGGCTTGATTTAATTTTTAAACCATTATTCCCTGTTCTTGTTTCTCTTTGTGTTGCTTAAAGGATTTTCCTTTATTTCAAATAGCAAAAGGCATCAAGAGACACTGGGAACCCCCATTCTGCTCACCCAGACGTTTCAGGAGCCCAAGGAACAACAGGTACCCAAACTGATGAGCCCAGTGTGTAAGTAGCTGACTCTCGGGACCTGGGTATAGGAGATGATACATCACTGAATGCATGTTGGCCCCTCCCTTCCTGGAGTGTCTCCCAGGCCTGTGTCAGTCTGACCCTATGGCCCAGGCACCTCCTCACACAGCCCCTGTGGCCACGGTCATCTGGTCATCCTGACACTTCCAGGTGCCCGCTTGTTAGAGTTTCTGCCTAACATCCAGGTTTTAATACTTGTTACACTGAATTGTTGTCTAATGTTCCAGCTGTTACTACAGTCTCCCCAGCTGAATACATTTCTTGAGGCCAGAGATGGTGTATGACCTCCATTTCATGTTAGTATTGGCGATGTTGGGAGCTCTTAGGATTTTTAAGTTGTCGGTTGGCACGTGCATTTGAAATGTGTTTCAAAGTGTTTCAGCACATACCGTATTTTTCGGACCATAAGACGCACCGGACCATAAGATGCACCAGTTTTTAGAGAAGGGAAATGAAGAAAAAAAGATTCTGAAACAAATAGTGTCCTAAAATATTTTATGTGCATTAAAACCCAACATCACAGTCATAAACACATGTAATCAACCCTGTAAAGTAAACAGCAGCATTTAGAACCATTTTAGAGCCGGGCAAGCACACAGAGACCACACAGAGCCGGGCAAGTAAAAAAACTTTTTTTTAAAAGTATATGTGTAGACTATATTTGGACCATAAGACGCAGGGACTTTTCCCCCCCACTTCTGGGGGGAAAAAAGTGCGTCTTATGGTCCGAAAAATACGGTACCTCCTTTCCCCTCAGGATGCCTCTGAGTGTTGGGTTTGCAAACATTATTACCCCCAATTAATTCCATGCCCTTTCCCCAAATTACATCCCACTGTGGAGTCAGACCGAGGTCTCATCTAATCTGGCCACTTCCCACCTTAGCTCTCCCTTCAGGGACTGTGAGGGGAGGCCTCTGGTTTTCTGTTTCTCGGCTTTGTTGCCATGTCACGGAGCCTGTGGAGGTGAAGGAGGAGAGCTGGCTGGTGTCTCTGAATGGCCGCTTCCACTAGAAGCCGCTGTTGGAGCAGGCTGGTCGTCTGCCCACTCCAATCGGTGACCGTGGGCCAGTCAGCAGAAAGGCAGAGCCAAAACAAATCCACCAGGGGCCCTTGCGGGGCCAACACTCTACTTCCTTAAGAGCAAAGCCATCATTTCTGTGGTTTGATTTGCATTTTAACTGAAGTCTTTCTAAGTGTTACATACCCAACCCCACTAGGAAATCCTTGAAGAAGAATGTTCATCCAAACATAACCAAGTGTGGCTTTACAGGAGATGGTAGCTTCTGCCCTCCGAACCCACTGGTGTAAGGCTCGGAGATCATACAGGTGGTCAGGGAAATGCTTTTACAAGCTCAAAGCCACAAGCACTGAGTGCTGTTACAACTGCTGCGTTGTACTTGTCATCACATTGGTGGCAGCCACAGCCAGGGGCATGTCCCCATGACTACCCCCCAAAGAGAATATGGAAGGAATGTGCCGGGTGTGCAGTCCATGCAGATATGACAGGTCAGGTCTCACTTCTTTCTTTTCATCCTGTGTTCTTAGGAAACACTTTCTACCAGGATTTTTCAGGACGTCAAGATGACTCAGAAGCCACTGGGGACCCCTCTGCCCTGTGCCCTCCAGTGGAGCCAAGGGGCCCCACCTGGCCCAGCCCACAGCAGCCCTTGCCCCTCCAGCCAGGCTCCTACCCAGCGGGAGGAGATTTGGGACAGACGGGGGTTCCGGTGCCTCTTTACTCGGTTCCTGAGACCCGTCTGCCAGGGATCAGTGGCAGCACGGCAGTGGCAGAGGCTCCTGGAGGAAGGCCCTGGGCAGAAACCCAGCAGCCACGCCCGCCCCCTGGTAAGACCTGTGCTAGGCTGGCAGCCTCGGGTGTGGAGTTCTAGAAGGGAGGAGGCAGATGAGGGAGAGGTAGGGACCAATGGGTAGCTGTAAAGACTGAATGGGGTGTGTACATGGTGGAGGGCCTACTGTGTGTCAGCCCTGGTGCTCTGCATACAGCCGGGGGAGATTGCTCTCTCCCTTCCAATCAGCTCTCTACTGAGACAAGCATAGTGCGACCAACAGCATCTACCCCCTGGGATTACAGTTTCTAGGAGAGAGGCTGCAGAGTGGAGAAGGGAAGAAAGTGCCACCTGCACTGTGAACCATAGTGAAGGTCAAGTTCTGCTAAGGCTAAGAGCTTGCTGCCTGCAGAGGCCTGTGCTCCTGTCTTCTTCCCAAGTGTCTTAGGCCCATCAGGCCTTGGACAGCAGGGCTGAGTGGGGGTGAGCAGTGTAGAGTGTTGCCAGGGACGTGCTAGAGGATTAGCTTAGACCTTCGGAGATAGAGCCTGTCCACAGGTCACAGAGGGAAGAGCCAAGGAGGACCCCAGGGTCCTAGCTCAGGGTGGCCCTGACTTCCAGGGCTCTTAAAGAATGTCTGGGTAGAGGAAGGGTGAGCAGCGTGTCCTGGGCGGCTGGGTGAGAGGGCCAGCAAGAGGGCCTCACGTTTCCCGTGATTGGCTTGGGGTTGGGGGGCTCAGAGCACCAGCTGCTTGGAGCTTGGGAAAGCCAACTGTCCCCATTACCTGCCTCAGGACGGATGGAAGAGGCTCAGCTGCAAGTCATGGTTTTTGTTTCTTTTTGTGCCACAGGAGAGAACACAGTGTCCCAAGAAACCTTCCAGCATCCTGATGGTCAAAAGGTAAGGTTTCCAAACCGCAGGTGAGAGGACGAACCCCCCAGCGTCAGGTTTTCCAGCCACCTGGCATCTTAGCCACATGCAAACTCCTTCGCCTGCCTGGCACCTGCTTGCCCTTCCCCGGGCACCTCATTTCTTCTTGTTTCCTCCTACACCAAGCCCCAAGATGTGGGGAGGCTGTTCCGATGCTCAGTCCCACCAGCCTGTGTCCCTGGGGGCGGGGCATCAGGGCCCTGTGTAGTTTTGGCCTCACAGGTCTATTCCTCTGACACATTCTTACTGTCACATCACACATGCCCCACCCCCCAACTCCCATCCTGGAAGACTCTGACTATTTCTCTCTTTGTTTTCATTTCTATTATGCCTTGCTTTACTTCCAAGAAGGGTCTATCGCACCTGTGCCTTTTGTCCTCAGTGAGGCTGTGTGGTCTCAGAGGTGAGCGTGTCTAATGAATCATTCTGTCTAGTGGTTGAGTGAATGCTCCCTTCCCCCAACTCTGGGCAGCACTGGTTCCACATTTATGAGGCTTTTCGGCTTTGCCTGGTTGGAGGGTTACATCATGTAACTTTCTCAAGTAGTGATAGACTATGGGCCTTACAAACTTCTATACTTTTTCTTTTTCTACTGAAAAAATAGTACATTATTAATAATAGAAAACTTGAAAAATGAAGACTCAAACAGATATAACTCATAATCCCAAAGTCAAATATTTTGGTAATTTTCCCTCAATACTTTTCCCATATCCTATATAATAAAAGGGTAATATGCAAATTGACTCTAAAGGCAGAACGACCAGATGCTATGAGGCACACTGATTACCTCTTGGTCCCTTTCCCTGGCCGACAGGCTCTGATCACCTGATGGGCCACCCACAGCGGGGCTGGGGCGGCGAGTGGGCAGGAACAGCTGTCCTCTCGGTTCCTTGCCCCAGCCATCACTCACCAATCACCTGATGGTGAAGGAAGGGGGGGAGGGTGGCAGACCAGAGCTGGGTGGCTGGCTGCGGGCAGCTAGAGAAGATGGCCCTGATCGCAGGTCAGGCCTTCAGACCGTACCTGTGCACAACTTTTGTGTGCCGGTCCTCAAGTGTGTGTGTGTATATTATATATATATATATATATATATATATATATATATATATATATATATATATAAATATACACACACACACACACACACACACACACACACACTGAGTGGCCAGATTATTATGATTTCTGAACATATAATAATCTAGCCACTCAGTGTATATATCTACACTAATAAAAGAGTAAGATGCAAATTGACTGTACCTTTGTGACGCCCACCAGCCAATCTGGAGTGAGTATGCAAATTAACCCAACAAAGATGGCAGGTTAATTTTCATACGCAGGCACTGAGCATCTGGGGGCAGGGTGGGATGGGTACATCATTGTCATGGCTATGACACAGGCATTCCACACTACCCCAGCTACTCCAGGCCTCTGGGCAGTGTGGGAAGGTGGAAAGGCAGCTCTAGGCCAGAATGAAAAGGTGGCTCCGGCTAGAGTGAAGGCGGTGCTGGCAGCTAGGGGAAGGAAGGCACATTCTTGCACAAATCTTCATGCATTGGGCCACTAGTATATATATTAGAGGCCTGGTGTATGAATTTTTGCATGGGTGAGGTCTGGCCAGCCTGGCCAGGGGGAGGGGACATGGGAGATTGGCTGGCCTGCCTGCTGGTTGAACTCCTGGTTGAGGGGACAATTTGCATATTAGCCTTGTATTACTTAGGATATACACTCAGTGGCCAGATTATTATGTGTAAAGAAATCATAATAATCTGGCCACTCAGTATGTTTGTGTGCATACACACACACACACACACACACACACACACACACACACAAATGTGTGTTTTTTATAAGTACCGCGTGCTAACCAATTGCGCCACTGGAGCTCCCAAATGTGTGTTTTTTAAATGGTTAAAAACATATGAATATGAACATTTATTTTTTATTTGTTATTTAATGCTATAACATGAGATTTTCCATGTCATTCATAAATACGATTTTTAATATTGGTATGGTGAAATCTATTCTTTGAAAGCACCATCATTCACTCATCCATTCATTCATTCATTTGTTTACAAATACTGAGTTCCCACAATGTGCATGGATTTAGTGAGCAGGTCAGGTCAGGTGACACAGTCCCCATAAAAGTGCCCCTGTAACCTGTCGAGGGCTATACATGTGTCAGTGTTTATTTTCTTTAACTCCAGGGGCCACTGATCCTCAGAGCTCAAAATATTTCCGAGAATTCCACTGTTTCAGCCAAAGAGGAGGAGGAGGAGTCCTCGGATGAGACAGATAAAAAGTCTTCCTCAGACCATGCACAGAGAGAAAAGGTAGGAGACAGGGGAGAGGGCATGCAGGTGGGGCGACTGGGTCTTCTCTTCCCAGTCTATGAGTGATCTGGGCTCTGGCTGTGTTCCCTCCCCCATCTCACCACCATCACCGGGGGCGGGTTAATCTCAGAGTTGGTGAGAATTGGGAGACTCGCACCTAAAGGCCATCTAACTGCCCCTTCCTTCCTCCCAGAGCTCAGGCTTTGGCTGGTTCAGCTGGTTTCGCTCCAAGCCCTCCCACAGCACCCCCCCCTCTGGGGACGAAGACTCCTCTGACAGCACCGACTCAGAGGTAACTTGCCGGAGGACAAGGAAGCACCCTCTTCTGGGGCCCTTCTGAGGGTTGGAGCTGGTGGGAGACTCTCCCCAGGCTGGACGAAGCAGAGGTTTTGTGAAGGGACAGAGATGGTGGGAAATCAATAGGTCTCATGAGGGGCAAAGCAGATGATGGAAGGAAGGCCTTAGAAGCTAGGATGAAGCGTTTCCACTTTAGAGGGCCAGGGGTGATTTGGGTTTATTAATAAGCAGGGAGCACAAAGGAGATGGCGTTTGGGGGAGAGAACCCCACAGCAGGTTGTGGGTGGAGGCTCTGCTTTGGGCGCTGCAGGAATACAAGCAGGCCCGCACGGACTTGTTAACCACCAAGGCTGCCTTTCTTCCTCCACTGAGCAGGAGACCCCGAGAGCATCTTCTCCCGCTAAGGCTGGCTCCAGCCTCTCATTGGAGCCCCCGTCTCTACCGGGCCCTGGCACCTTCTCCATGGGCACAGGTACAGCCACCCTCACATTCTCGGGGCCATTGGTGGTCCCCCAGGGGTTGGGGGATCTTCCTGGAATGGGGACTGCTCAGTGCTGAACAGTGCAAACAGCTCTGACTCATTGCTTCCTAGGTGGGGGTGAAGTCCAAGGACCAGAATCCGGTGGGGGAACCGCTGAGATCGCTGGGAATGGAGGCTTGCCTGGGCTCCAGGTGAGCAGCCCATGGCTGTCCCCAGGGCCACACCAGATGCCCAGGTGTTCGAGGACTGAACCTTCCGGGTGGGGGCCTGACTCCAGGGGAATGTGGGGGGCACTTCTCTATGAGTTTGCTGGGGTTGCCACAACAAGGGGCCACAGACTGTGAAGCTTAAACAAAACAACAGAACTTTATTTCCTTAAGGTTCTGGAGGCTGGAAATCGGAGATCAAGGGTTCAGCAGGGTTGGTTTGCCCCGAGGCCTCTCTCCTTGGCTGGTAGATGATCCCTGTCTCCTCATGTCTTCCCATGGTCTTCCCTCTGTGTGTGTGTGTGTCTGTGTCCAAATTTTCTCTGCTTACAAGGACATTGGTCATGCTGGGTTAGGGCCCATCCTAATGACCTCATTTTGCCTTAATCACCCTTTTAAAGACCCTGTATCCAAATATTTTCAGAAGTACTGGGATTTAGGTTTCAACACAGTAAGTTTTGGCAGGACATGATTTAGCCCATAACTGCTTCCTTGGTGAAATCTACAGAACTTTCTGTATCCCAGTAGGATCGGAGCTCACATTGTCCATGGCGAGGGCTGTAATAAACTCTGCTGTGACTTCATGCTGATTGCTAGGAGAGCATTTTTATTTCTTGTGGCCGGTTAGAGTGCTCTTCAGGTACTGCAGGCCTTTCAAAGAATAGATTACTTTTTACGATGCTTTCATTATTGTGGCTCTTTCTTCTCATGTCCTCTAGGGACAGCTGCACCTGAGCCTCTGCACTCCCACCTAGACCCAGGGGGTGGCTGTGTCCACTTGAACCATATTTTTTTTTGCTCAATATTCACTGAGTTTTATTGAGAAGCCCTTCCCATCTGTATCTCTTTAATTTTTTTTCTAAAATTGATTTCAGAGAGGAAGGGAGAGTGAGAGAGAGAGTAACATCAATGATGAGAGAGAATGATTAATAAGCTACCTGCCTCATCTCCCCCACTGGGGCTTGAGCCCGAAATCAGGGCATGCGCCTTTCCTGGGAATCCAGTCGTGACCACCTGGTTCATAGTCGATGCTCAACCACTGAGCCACACTGGGAAGGCCCCATCTGCAACTCTTGACCAAAGTTGAATCTGGGAGGTGGTGACTGATAGGATTTTCGATTATTTTCTGTTACAGGGTGTTTCCTCTGAGCCCTACTTCAACCCTGGTGCGCTGCTTCCCCCAACCCCTTTGAAAGGTGCTGTTCCTCTCTACAACCCATCTCAGGTCCCCCAGGTAAGGAAGCCCCGAGGGACAGGTTTTGGATTAAGAAGATCTGAGTTTATAATCCTAGTTTACCATGTGCTGTGCATGAGTTCTTGAGCAACGACTTAACCTTTCCAAGTCTCAGTTTTTGCATCTGTAAAATGGGCTTAGTAGTAGGTACCTCACTGTGTAGTTGTGAAGATTCAGTATGCGAAGGACCTGGCACACAGAAGGACCTGTCAGTCAGTGTTGCAATTATCAATATTGCTCCAGAGATTTCATAACTCTTGAGACTCCAGGGACACAACTGGTGTTGCTATCAGCAGTGTGCCTGCACCCTCGCCCTGTCCTGGTGTGAGTGGATCATTGCAAACCTCGAGCGAAGCTAACCTCGCTGCTCCTCAGTGACCTGGGGCACACTGGTGGCTCTTATGTGTCACTTGGCCTCTCTGCTTTGTAAAATTGAATTTCTTTTGCCATATTTTATTTATTTATTTATTTATTTATTTATTTATTTATTTATTTAAATGAGGATATATTATTTTCCATTCATTTCTAGGGAGAGTGGAAGGGAGCGGGAGAGAAAGAGAGAGAGAAACATGGATGTGCGAGAAACACATCAATTGCTTGCCTCCCACACGTGCCCAGACTAGGGCAAGGATCAAACTTGCAACCCAGGTACATGCCCTTGACCAGAATCAAACCTGACACCCTTTAGTCTGTAGGTTGATGCTTTATCCACTGAGCCTAAGTGGCCAGGGCACTTTGCCTCAGTCAAGAGCCCAAGGTGTTGGTGGAAGAGAATACATAGAACATCACACTAGGAAGCCAAACGCAGCTGGAGTGTTCTAGACTCTCAGGATGCCCTAGCTCAGTCCAGCCAGTCAGCCCCGGGAGGAAGCATGCTCGGGGCTCTAATGCAGTGTGATGTTGCTTCTCTTCCAGCTCCCCACGGCTGCTAGCCTGAACCGGCCAAACCGTCTAGCTCAGCGTCGCTATCCAACCCAGCCATGATGACCAACCCAGGCCCGTCTCCCTGGAGCACATTTATGTTGTTTTCCCTTCTTAATCTCCCAGCCCCTCTGCTGGATTGAGGCCCCCAGCAGGGCTGTGCTAGCCTATTGTCTCCACTGGGCATGGAGAAGGCAAAGGGGCAGGACACAGCTCAGTCCAGTTTCTTAAGATCAGCTTCACAAGATGGAAATGACTTCATCACATGGGAAAGCTGGGCATGGGAGCAGATTGGAGATGAGCAGGATGCCACAGAGGCAGCACAAGGACGGCAGCTTCAGATTCTCAGGGCCTAAGGGATCGACAGAGGACACCACTGGGCTCTGCAGCAGGAAAGTATTGGGGGTCAGGGGGAGGGGGCACTCAAAGCAACATCCTGGATTAATTTGACTCATTCCTCAATTATAGACCAATTCATGACTCTACTTAGCAAAAGCTTTTATACTAAAACTTAATTATTCTTATCATAATTCCCTTTTCAGTGGCATTTCAGCAGTTTCTCTGTTGGTTCTTGTTTTGTGCACATTTTTTATGTGGTTCAGATTAATTATATTTCTCTCACTTTCTTAGCTGGTCCTATTTTTTCATATTCTGGCATCTGGCTATCAAGTTAGATTGCTGTAGGCATCATATTGTCATGGTAACTACCTAACCTATCGATGCAGATGAATGGAACATTAGTCTAATAAATGATGGAAAACATTTTCTAAAACTTCACCCCTTCCCTGACAGGAGCAATGAATGTGCGATATTGTTAATCCCTCCCTCCCTGCTTCAGGCCTTTGCAAATCGATGTTTGGACACTGGAGCCAGAGGGAAGAGGGAGACAGCCTAGAAATTCCTATTTTATCCACCCTTTCAAACCTCAAATAGAAACGACTCTCAGTGTTTGTCAGATTGTTAAAAATTGCTCATCAAAAAGAGTATTTTTTGTATGTGTAATTGTACATACAGGTTTTTGTACTCTAATGTACTACAATTATAAAGTTGGCAACCATTAAACCAGGTAATTTTATAGCAAATGCTTATCTGTGGCACATTGAGTGGTCTCTGAGTGGTTTCTTCCCTGAAATCTTCTCTAACAATGGTTTCGTTGTTTGACAGGGTGTGTAGTTCTGGAAGGAGCCCTTTGTTAATGAAGAACCTAGGGACTGATCCTCTTAACTTCCAAGTCTACTCCACTGTTTTTTATGTGTGTTTTTTTTTTTCAGTTACGAAAATATGAACAAAAACTTCTCTGATGCAACCAATCACTCCATTAACTACGTATTTTGTTTCCTAAAAAATTTATTAACCTCTCAGATTAAATTAGGAAATGCATGCACAAGTGTTTTGCATCTAGAAGACCCTCTGAATGCCATTCCCCTTTCTTCCATAAGAGACTGCTCCTCCTTCAGGTTGGTATGCTGACACCCAGTGGTGGTGTTGTGGTAGCAGTGGGTGAGTTCCACAGGAGTCACATTGCTCAGACTTGAATCCTGGCTCATGCCCAGTTTACCTAGTGACGTTAGTCAAGCTTACTTGACTGTCCTGTGCTTCTCATCTGTAACATGAGGATAATAATTACAATACTACCTACCATATAGGGACATTGCAACACTAAATGAGTTGAGCTTGTAGAAAAGTACCTGGGACATGCTGAGCACTATGTAAGTGTCTTCTCTCCCCCTCCTCCTCCTCCTTTTTTTAAATTATCAGTATATAATCTAGATATAAGTATAATCTTGACTATCTTGTTACCTAACAGATTACACTGTGGATTTTTCATTCTTGATATATCGATAGGTATAGAATGGGAATGATAATTTAAAAGTACTCAATATGTACCCTTATTACTAAGCCAGTTTCTCTTCCTGCAGCCCATCTGCCACCAATGGTAGGTCATGCGGCTTAGAGCCCCTGGGAACAAAGATGTGGGGGACATCCTGCCCCATAGAAAGAAGCCCATTAGAGGAGGAGATTGAGGACCGAAGAAGGCAGAGATGGCAGATGCCCATGCCCTCACTTCCTCCTCCTGCTGGGATTCTACATGGAAAACCAGTGACTACAGTGTGCACAAAGCCAGCACTGACCTTAGCTACTTCCCAGGCAGAGGGCACACACTTGCTGGAGGGGAAAAATCAGGGTCTATATAAGCAAGGGAGGAGATCAGGGCATGTATGCAGATTCAGGATTGCAGGGTTATATCCCAGTGAAGTCAGGATGCACCTGTTCATCTGCACATGATTGTTTAAAACAAGTCCTGTCGATAATTGGTCGGGAGAGAACCCTCTGTGGGTCCAGTAAGGGTCTGATGAAAGGGGTCACTCAGAGGTTTTGATTGTTTATTAGCTTTTCTTAGTGGTGGTGATGCTGGTGAGGTTGCTAAAGGTCATGATCATTTTATAGCTTCAGCTGGTTCAAAGCATTTGCGCTAAAACAAAGAAAGTGCAGCTGTAAGAGAAAAATATTTCCTCCCTTTGCAAGATGGAAGCGTGGGGAGTAGAGCAGGTGGTGATAAAAAATATGCTGCTAGGAACAGGGAGCCCGAGACTGGGGGACTCACAGTGCCTTTCCTGGTCCAGAGCTTGGGAGAGGCTGCAATGGCTTTGTCCAACGGGGCTTGGGAGCCATAACAGCTTGGCCTTGGGGATGACCATGGTGTGAGGCAAGTCCTCAACTCCCTGCAGTCTGGTATGTGTGGACTCCTTAGGAAGGATTGCACAGTGCCCCAAAAGGCCACAGGGACCAGTTGTTCCTCAGCAGACAACAAGCCAGGGCAGGGCCAAACCAGTCACCCAAAATGCATGGGGCTACTGTATCCACTGTATCTGCCCATCAGCATGAGACATTTTGAGGAAAGAGAATAGACCTCTAAAGAAAAAAAGGAATTACCAAAAGGCACTGTTTAACGGGGGAAGGGACATATTATTAATTACAAGTTTGTTTTTATCCCCCTTACTCCTCACTGGGGTGCCATTCCTAGAGGAAGAATAGCTTTAGGAAATGAAAAAGCGACATTTTTCTTTAAAAACAACAATAACACAAACACTGAGTGGTTACGTGCACATTTGCAACCCTGCCATATATGTGTAATTTAATATTTATACGAAAACATTTCAACTTAATGTTCAGTAATTTTGGAAGAGAACAAACCGTTAAATTCCATTTAAGTGTCTTTATCACATATAACCATTCCAGCCTTCTGTCTAATCCCCTTCTGTGGCTATAACACTGCAAACCAGCCGAGATTCCCAGTTACCTCTACTGTACAGATTCCCTTTGAGCCTTCACTCGAGCCTCAGGTTGCTCAGCATCAAAGTCTCTGCTAGCTTTCTTTTCTTCCCTAGAAGCCTTCTTTCTCTTTGGTCTCTTCCTCTGAGCAGCCAAGAGGGAGAGCAAGAGACTGCATCCACCTCTTCACTAAAATCAGAATATTTTTCTTCCCAAGAGGAAATATGCAAGACGCTCCTCTGCTCAAAAGGACTAATAGGTGGTAATTTGGGTCTCACTCACAGGAGTTTCTGGGACACTTGACCCACAAAGAGCAGAAGGGAAGTGCCCTTTCCCCTCTTCTGTTTGCCATCTAAATCTGGCAGTTGCCCGAATCATGATTTGCCCGCAATAGGGTGTTGGGTACTTACCTGAGGCTGCCTCTAAACATGGCCCCAGGCGGCCCGCTCCCATGAAGTAATTATACCAGGCACCATTCATTCAGGTCCTTCAGAAATGGTTTCTTAATGAGACTGAACCGCTACTTTGAATGAGGACTGAGAGCATATTAAATGTTTCATTACAGTCTCACTAAGTAGGGGAATCTGCTTCCCACATTTTCTTTCTTTTGGGATCTATCTCTAGGTAATAACAGTACTAGGCTGAAACTAGGTCAACAGCAATGCAACTCAAGCTTGACTGACTTGGGCAAGCTGCTTGATATTTTAATGTGAGATGCTTTCTGGGTCTTGAATCATCTTAGAGAGAGCCGATTAAATATCCAATTTTTACAGAATCTCGAGAGAGAGGGATTCCATGGCCTCCCTTGACGCTTCAGCCTAGAGTTTCACACCCTTGAACATTAGGAAGCTAGCTATTCCTAATACTTTCTACCCAAATCACTCATGTGGCTCTTTAAGACTCTCAACTGGTCCTCAGCGGAGATGGAAAACAGCTGCTCACCACCACCTGTCCCTGGAAGTCTTTCACATTCTGCAAGGATCAAATCATGTCCCAGCTTCTGAAATGAAGTCTTACAAAATTTTTATTTTTTCTTGACTAGAGTTGGGGATCAAATCAGCTACATACTTGGAATCTTTTGGTAGCTATGGTGGCCATACACTTTGAGTTTCAATAACTAATATTTCTTGAGTATTTTTAAAACTATATTTTTATTGATTTCAGAGAGGAAGGAAGAGGGAGAAATAGGGGGAGAAAGAATCATTCATTGGCTGCGTCCTGCATGTCCCCTATTGGGGATCAAGCCTGCAATTGGGTATGTGCTCTGATTGGGAATCAAACTGATGAACTCTTGGTTCTTGGGTTGACACTCATCAACTGAGCCACACTGGCCACACTATTTCTCGAGTATTTGTTTTGTTAGGCACTGTGGTATGCATTCTTTGAAGACTATGTTACTGCAACATGTTATAGATCAGTAACCTGAAAACCAGAGAGAGAGAGAGAGAGAGAGAGAGAGAGAGAGAGAGAGAGAGATTAATTAAGAAATTTGTCTAAGGTCACACAGCTAGAAAGGAACTGGGATGGGAATCCAGATAGTCTGACCTCTGAATCTGGGCTTTTAGCCACATTGTCCCAGACATATGTACATTTATTTGTTCAGTTATTCATTAATTACTAATTGAATAATGTGTCAGGCATTGCACTGCTTTCCCAACAAGATGATCTTGACACTTAAAATATTCAGAGTCTAGTGAGGGAGACAGACATATATACACAAAAATTACTGCCTAATATAACTGTCATACTTAAAGCTATCTTCAGAGAACTTAGTGCCTTGCCATTCCTTAATAATATAGGGTTTTCATCTATACATATAATTTGGGGGCTGATAGGTAATACGGTCAAATTGTACCACCTCTTATAGTTAAGATCAAAGTTAAGTTCATTGCTAGTGCATAGCAGAGCAAATTTTTATGCCAGAATTTGAAGTGGCATAAAGAATCAGTGGGTAATGTGTGAAGTCTGAAGGAACAAGGGTGATCATGCACTGTGATTATCAATACCAAGAGGGCCATGAT